GTCGTACCACTGATGGATGCACATCATGCACGTGCACCCACAGTTGCATATGTCAAGCGCTTCACATCAGCACTTGTTTGCGAACGTTGGGTGCCATCCTGTTTGTTGGTTCATGCCAGAAAAACGATGGATAAATGGGGAGACAAAACAGTACTTGCTTGACAAATCTAGGCACCAGTAAAGGAATGCTGACGTGTGGCACCGCTTTAACCGTGTTATTGAAGAAATTTATGATCTTCTGAGACCGCACCTTTTGTTGTTTGTTTGTATAGAGTGAACAGAATTTCGTGCACAGACTGTCTGATCGCCGTGCACCTTTTGCCGCGTAGGTCTTTGGAGGCGTTGGATCTCAATCCGCGCAAATAAACTGTGCTCTGGATAATCACACAGCTATATACACACGGGAAGGGGGGGGATATATCAATGGGAAAGATTCATTGGGCAAGTGGGCGGACCCACAAACGAAGCTCATATGGCGGTGCTTCTATTTTTAAACACCTACAGTCCTCATCATTGCGGACCGATGGGGCGTGTCAGCCAGTATGAGTGTGCACAAGCCGTTCTCAGCCTTTTTGTTGAAACGCGTATGCGACAAAAAGTGGTAGAAAACGAGTAATACGGAGGATATAATACAGTCATATCATTTGCTCGCTTTAAATACTGGTGGAGAGCGGGTTTGGCACCGCGCCAAACGCAGCCGCACTGAACCGCCCCGACAGTACCTAATGATGATGACTGTAGCTCTTTTCAGGTGCGGGGTGATAATAGTGACTGAAAGGATTGGAGAGGTGCAAGACCCTAAGGTAGATGGGCGGTGGTGGTTGGAGAGGAGCACGATCTCTAGTAAAGCACTGATGCACTAAAAATGGCCTAGGGCTCACCAGCGCATTGAAGGGGTACAAGGCTCTTAGGTAAGTGGGCGGCGGTGGTTGGAGGGGAGCACGGTTTCTAGTAAAGCTCTGGTGCAGTAGAAATGGCCTAGGGCTCACCATCCATAAGAGAATTACAGCGCACGTCATATCTGGCAGCTGTCCTACTTCGAGGAATTTTTTGCAATTGATTTTTTATGATGTTAATTTTTCCCGTATCAGGCGCTCTTCTTTATATAGCCGTTTAATGGCAAAACCATGGCAATTTAGATGAGATAGCGGATAATTTGTGAATGAGGGTAGCGCGAAAGACGAAAGTTTTGACGTCGTCTTCAGTGCTACCCTCAATCACACGTCTTATTTTGCAAAAAGTTTTCGCACTGTGGTGAAGCGCCCTGCCTAATTACGTCACAATACCAGTATTGGAGAATGGCTGAATGGAGCGATCTTCCTTCTACAACTGAAGCTAGACTGGGAGCTACGAGTCAAGGTGGCCACTGGAAGAGGTTACAGTAAAAGTACTCTGTGATTTCACTTCACATGCACTCTCTCATCGCGTCCTATGATCACTGTAACCTCACGCTTCTAAGCATTCAGCAGCAGGATAAGTGGCTCACCCACTGCGGACACTCCCGTCGAAAAGGCCCATCTCCTAGCTCGCTCTGTTTTTTGCACACTTCATACTCTGGCAAATGTCCCCCTCTGCAGTCCGTAAACGGGATTTCACAACTGGAACGTGCACTAATGTTCAAGCAGTCACGTAACCGCGTTTTGCACCGTTGTCATTTCTCCAGAGCGGTCAGGGGTTATCCCAGTCCACATGTATTTATTTTCTCGCGAGTTCTACGAATCGTCAGGGCCGCAGGCAAATAGCAATGCTTTAGGAGGGGGAAATGGAAGGATCATAGATCAGCAGTGAGGTAGATCAAACAAAGTCAATGAAACCGCTGATCGTTCCTTCCAATGCAATTACCATTTCGCATCATTTCGTCCATATTATCGGTCGCAGTATTCTAATGCATGCACTATTCTGTCCGTGTTGTCTACTCCATCTCGTCCAATCCTCACTGTTCGATCGACTTGCTTCTGCTGCATACTCCTCCATGACACCCCCTTCCAATATAAGGACACCGGTTTGAAAACATTTCTTACGTTCGTCATCAAAATTCTGCGTGGAACCCATTGATCTAGTAACCGTTCCTTACGCTACTACTTGCAATGCGCATGAGGCTAGAGAGCAGAAATCATAAGGTTGCCGTATCTAATAGATTGCCCTCATTTTCAAAGGCATAAAGCCTTGCTACATCATCACCACTCCACAAGTTAATGAGATTAGAGTCTTCGCTATAGACGACAAGTCTGAGTAATCTCTGAATAGTGACGAAAAAGCCGGAAAAAGTGGTCAGTCTGCCGCTAATAGAACCCTACATTACGATCCGGTCCCAACTGATCAACTGTGCCCAATCGCACAGCGATTTCCATGAATAAGAACTCCACACCGCTACTAAGTGACGATTTTTATGGCTTTTTCGCCCTTGCAGCTTATTCGTTTTCACTGAAATGCGTACCCCGCAGGAGACGGATCGGGGAGGAGTCACGAAAAGGGCGTTCTCGAACTTTATTACTGCGCTTGAAGAGCTCCTCCCTTACAACGTATTCCTCGCGAAATCCGTGCAAGGTGTTCGTCGCAGACCGATATTGTCCACATTCCGTCCACCGTCAATTTACTCGTTTACCGTGCCTATCGAATGGCTATGATGGTGTCGCATTCAAAATTGCTGTTTTCCTTCACGTGGTGCTCCACTTTTGTACCTTTTTGTTTACAAAGTTGAGCCTGTGGTTTTTTTTTGGCCAGTAGATGACAGTGAACAATTAAAAGAGATTTATTGAAAACATGATTTTTATGCTCCAGTACCGCTAGTCCCATCACCTCCAGTGCTTGCTCCTGTACCACCACCAGTGCTGGCACCTGTACTAGCACCAGTACCACTTGTTCCGGTTGCATCCTTGGTACCACTAGTACCGCCAGTACCAGATACCTGAAACATAGAAAAATGTAGGTACACATGTAGAGTTTCTCATTTTCCCATGGTCTAGAATATCTGTGTAGAACGCACTTCACTCTTATCTCCTCCTGTTGTTCCAGATCTGGACGATTTACTTCCTTTTCCTTTTCCCTTCTTACCCTGAATTACACGCAGAGTGTAATGTCCCACATGAATAACGAAAACGGTGTCAGAGCGATACCACGCGTGCCCACACACGCACCTTCTTCTTCCTCTTTGGTGTGTACTTGTCGCAAAAGTTCTTCGAACGATAGTTGACAAACATGATAAGAGCCAAGAAGGCAAATACCAAGAACAGTATGATTGAAATGATCATAATCGTCTTGTACGTCTTGTTTACCTCACGTTTTTTGTCTTCCACAACAACCTAAAATCGTTTCTGTAGCAATGAAAAGGCAAGAGCGTCCAACGCACTATAGACATCGTGCCCGCCCCCGACAACCCCACCCCTGACAGCATACTTACGGTTATGAAAATTTCCGTCTCTAATTTTCGTCTGAAAATTTCCCTGCCCTTCCACTTGGCATCACGTCTAGAGCTAGCAGCAGACCATTGTCTTGTTCGCTGTCCATGCTGAAGCGTGCTAGGGGGCTGGGTTTGACGTGGCGTCTGTAAACCTCACTCTCCCCCCCCCCCTTGAAAGGCCCAATATTCGCAACGAACAGGACTGCACGTACCGAAGTATCACCCTCTCGCAGCTCCAAGAGGTTACATCTGTTTCAAGAGGCGAACTAGTCCTGGAGATAAGGTTCTAGCTGATTCGGACTTGTTTTCCCTAGTGTCAATTCGGGGTTCGCCGTGTCAGATGTCCCTCTTCCTCCAGTTTTTTGTGCCCTTCACTTCGATGTCGTTCTGTCCGTGGTCCCGCATGGTCGCTTTCCCTAGGCTTCACCTTCCATTGTTTTTTATTTGGCGGCGAGACGTTAGAGCTTTTGAGAACATGTACGTAGCATCGCAGTCGCTTCTGTCGCGCCTTCAAATAGTTGGAGTTGTTTGGGTCCCCCTTACATTTTTTGACTTTATCTAGTAAGTTCACAAGTGTATCCTTATTATAGCCGCCTTTCTGCCTATAGACCGGCCCTCACTTCCGTAAAGCACCATGGCCTTCACCAAAAACCTGCACACCTTTCTCCGGAGCGTCCAACCAAGCGCCATCCAAAATGCGTAGGCAAGGTTCTTTGACCAAGTGTACAGGGTGCATACTCATTGCAACAGGGATACCGGACCTCCAAAACCCTTACGACGCGGCTCAGAGCGGCTCAGAGCGGCTAGCAAGGCCTGACCCTACACGCTCGCGACCTTGGGTTCCGCTCCTCAAATCGGCCACTACTGCTACTGATTGTGAGTGCTCAGAGCATCTGTGGCAGGAAAGGCATAGTTGAAGTTAAACGTCCGTCGGTCGCTTCCCGCTCCTCCCTTCCTCAGGCTTGTGAGGAGAGGAGGACGCAAGGTTCGCAATGACTCGGGATTGGCAGTTACGTTCACTGGAATGCGTGAACCCTTATTCTTTCGTAGTAGTAGTCATGAAGTCGAAATCGTTGGGAAGGATAAGTAACTAACATAGGGAGAGACGTAACACATTCCTCCACTCTTATCCGCTGATTGTACGACACAATATTGAGGGACTTTTTTGCCGAAAATTTCTCTATCAGGGCATGCTCCTTGGCATACTGAGGAATTCTCTTGTTTCTTCCCATCTAACTTCGTGATACCTACAATGGAACATAAAATTATCGAAAGTTTACAAACTTTAGATAAAAACCCTAATATTACCAAGGTAGCAACAGGTTTTCTTTGTTGGGTGGCAGTATTGTGTAATACTGCAATCATCAAACTTGTTGCATTTTCTTTTGGTGCAATAAGGCAACTGCAACTTGAGATCACCTGCAAAATATGGACCATCTTTCTCAGAACTTACACACAAGTGCGCCTTTATTTTTTTCGGGATTTTTTATTTCTTTTAGGATGTCACACGCACTCCACTTTCACTCATAATTGCAGCGGCTCACTGAATGTGATGCCTTTGTACTGACTTGCGGCGCCCTGCACAAGTCAGTGTTTTCATCCTACCAGCGAGTCAGGTACCAATTGACCGTTCCCGAGTGTAGAAGGCGCCGTTGGCCCGAGCGGGAGCCAATTCGGAATTTGATCCCCGCTCGTGGTACGTGCCACTTGACACTGCACCAAAAATTCGACAAATCTTTTTTGCTGAAGCTTCGCCCGAAGAGCTTATATAGTGCCCTCATCACGAATATGATAATTTTTGGTGTTGACGTCAATGGCGCCATCGTATTTCTCGCAAAAGTTGACGAAAACTTGTATACGGAGATAATTGACATCCTGATAACGAATATGACATTCACTCTCGACATCAGCACCACAGTAGGCCGCTTTGGTCGTCTGCGCTCTGCTATGGCCGAGTCTGGCGGGAAAAGAGCCAGTCCTCCTTCTTGGCTCAGCCTTAGCAGAGAGAAATTGCAGCGGTGTCGTGCTGCCGCCAGCGACGTGAGCGAGCGTGATCACCGTGATAGAATCTCAAATAATCCCTGCATACAATTTTTAATCAGCTTGGGTGAGACAGGTGATGGTGTCAAATGGCGCCAGCGCCAAAAGTGAATGTAATATGCGTGATCAGGGCACTAGATAAGCCCTGTGATCAAAGTTTAAGCGAAAAAATTCTTTTGAGTTGTTAGAGTAGGGGAAGGGAGATTTGAGATCCGCGTCCTAAGAGGCGTGCGCCGGTGTGGGCAGTTCTGCAATGGGAGGGGGGCTATTTTGCACTTTTGCTACTTCCAGTCGATTTTCTTGCGTTGACAGGTTTTACCAACCAGCTCGCTCCAGTACCCTAACTCCTTTACAAGAGTTCACAGGCTTCACCAGAGTGAGACTTGTTGAACCGGTACCAGTGAAGCAACGCCCCTCCCCTCCCCAGTCGGCTAATGCCGTTTGGACTCCAGCAATTTCGGCACCGAGCTCATTTTTAAATTGCCTAAGTCACCAAATCCGCTAAAAACTTGTATGTAGGGGTAGTTTAACATCCTGATTACGAATATGACATTCACTCTTGCCGCTGGCGCTAATGGATGACACTACGATTATCTGCGCTCTGCTAAGGCTGAGCCCAGGAGGTAATCGTAGTGTCATCTCTTGGCGCCAGCGCCAAGAATGAGTGTCATAATTGTAATCACGATGGTAAATAACCCTTGTGTACATGTTTTCAGCGGGTTTGGTGACTTAGGCAATTTAAAAATGAGCTCGGTGCCGAAATTGCTGGAGTCCAAACGGCATT